CTAAATAAAAATGTTTTCTTATACCATCTAAAACGCTTCTCTCACCCACAGCTAAAGACGTGCCAATTCTGAAGCGCTCGGACGGCGATGCACGCAAGGACGAGAACAGCACATCGCCTAGTTACCCTAATTTCATCCCACCGTACGACCACGGTAAAAACATTATCCCCGTCTACTGCTCCATCCTGGCTGCCGTGGTGGTCGGTCTCATCGGATACGTGGCTTTTAAGTGGTAAGTTTTACGGGCTGTGACAATTCAGTTTTGACCTCCATAGCGATTTTTGCTAAACTGCGCCGTCTAACATCACGTGGATAGTTCCCGTTCAGTGACGCTCCCATTTGGAATGGACCCTGCGTCCCAGATGTACATTGGCAGTGAACTCCGTAATCAGCACTCGCTAACAGACCACGTCAGACTCGCCCTCCTGTCATTTCTGCACTGCAAGTTTGTGGGGTGTGGCTGTTACTCGGTTCTGCCAGCACAGAGCACTGCAGTGTGAGACCGGGAAATGGCATTTTCACCTAAAAATAGAACATTTTTGCCCATCTAGGAAACAAAATCTTCATGAGAGGTGATACAAAGACTATAAAAAAAGGGGTGAGATGAACAAGTTATAATGATGGATCTAAATGGTTCTGTTATTGGAGATGAGAAAGGTCTTTCTGGGCTGGAGTTCCTTCTGTATCATATGTTTAATACTCTGTATATAGCACGGTACATTCCAGGCTAATCTGATCACCTATGACTTTACCCATTGTGGGTGCACTTTGCTGGACTCCAGTGGGAAGGATATTCTTTTGGTTCCCTCCAGAATTCCATGAGAAGTTTCTTGCGGAGATCTTCATCCACTGCGCCAAGTCCAGCGCTCACTAGGGAGGACATTCCACGGAAGTGATGCGGCTTTTGTCTCTCTCAGCGGCTCCTCAGCCGCTTTCCAGTCTATGAATAGGATTAGCCGCTCTCCCTCTCTGGATTAGATTCGTCTCTTTCACTCTCCTCGTCCCTTGCTGTTCTTTTTTCCACTTTTTTTTTTTTCTATTTTGCTTCTTTGCTTCCCGAAGGGAACGAAGATTCCGCAAACTCCTCCATAATAAGAAAAATAGTCTGAATCAGAGTGCGTTTATAGCTGTAGGATTCCTTTCACAGAGGGATTTGAAGAACGTTAATGCTCGAATCTGAAATGCTATTACCCCGGGAAGGAGGAAAGGAGGAGGCATTCTAGGTGGTAACAAAATCCCCTGATAAAGGCAGACACAAACTCAAGGGGAATGCGCTTATAAATGTTCAGTTCTACCCCCCTGGAATACAATAGGCGGTCAGGTTTTACCAAACTACCATTTTTATGGAGAAAAAAAACTTTTGGAAATTGTTTTCCCACTCTGTGAGATGTCAGAAGTCTAAAACATGAGGCTACTCGCAAAGAGGACTTCCAAAGTACAAGTACTCTGGATACATAGGTTATAGAAGGTGTTGGACACACAGATTGGAGAAGGTGTAGAACACATCGATTGGAGAAGGTGTAGAACACATCGATTGGAGGAGCTGTAGAACACATCGATTGGAGGAGCTGTAGAACACATAGGGACACCTGGATCGGAGAAGATGTAGAACATGCTAGGTTTGGAAGGAGGAGGTGTAGAACCAGCAATGTAGGAGGTCTATGAGGCAGTAGATGTAGGACACAGTATGCTGAACATGGCAAGAAGGACTGGGAGGCAGTTAGTGTGGGACACTGAAGGTAGTAGGTCTAGGGGACAGTAGGTGGAGAACATGGTAGGATAGAATCAGTAGGTAGGGCATGGTAGATTAGAGATCTAGGAGGCAATAGGTGTAAGACATAATAGATTGGAGGTGGTAGGTAGAACACTGGAGGTAGTAAGTGTAGAACACAATAGGTACTTCTAGGGGGCAGTAGTTGAAGAACATGGCAGGTTGGAGGTAGGGCATGGTAGAACGTTTGAGACAGTAGGTGGAGGGCATGGTAGGAGGTCCAAGAAGAAATAGCTGTAGGACAAAGTAGGTTGGAGGAGATATTTAAGACACCGGAGGCAAGAAGTGTAAGACACACAGTAGGTAGAAAGCAGTAGCTGTAAGACATAGTATGTTGGAGGGGGGAGGCAATAGGTGTAGGATATAGTAGATTGGGGGAGGTATTTTAGACACTGGAGGCAGGGAGTGTAGGACACATGAGGTGAAGGACATAGTATGTTATAGGAGGTAGGTAGGAGCTCCAGGAGGCAATAGGTGTAGGACACTCTAGGTTGGGGGAGGTATTTAAGACACTGGAGGCAGGAAGTGTAAGACGGGTTCACACCTAGGCGTATCAAATATGCACATTTGTCGCGCGATTACCTCTAAAAAAAAACACGCGACAAACGTGCGTTTCCGAGGGCTACTTGGCTGTATCCCAATGGAAACGCGCGACAAAAACGCCCCCAAAGAAGCTCCTGTACTTCTTTGGGCATAGGACGTTTTGTGGCGCATTCATACGGCCTGTAATACGCCCAGGTGTGAACCATACCCATAGGAAATAACGGGATTTCGGTGTTTGAGCGTTTTGCAGAGCGCAGGAACACGCTACAAAACGCCCAAGGTGTGAACCGGGCCTAAGACCCGGTAGGTAGAAGACAGTAGGTGAAGGACATAGTACGTTGGAGCGGGTAGTTAGGAGGTCCAGGAGGCAATAGGTGTAGTACATAGTAGAATGGGGGAGATATTTAAGACACTGGAGGCAAGAAGTGTAGGACACGGTAGGTGAAGGACATAGTATGTTGGAGGTGGAAGGTCTAGGAGGCGGTAGATGTAAGAAGTAACCCTATCAGTGGCAGCCTGTAGATAAGTCGCATTATAAGGAGCGTACTCCCAAGAGATAAATGCATTTCCCAAAATAGAGCTCGGTGCAGTGTTTTATCTCCTCGTTACTGACACACGGCCTTATCTAGAATTGCACAGCAAAGAGCCATAGTAAAGTGCGGTAATCCTCGGCACGCGGCCAGAACTCCTCGCGGCGGTAACCGGCATTGATGACTGAACTCCGAGAATTGCTGATTAACATTTTATTTGATAAACGAGATATATCTGCGAGCCGTTCTCTCTGATCTGGAGAATCTGGAATCCATTGTAGATTCTCTGCAAATAAGACAATTCTGCATACATGATATACAAGGTAATGAGCAAAAATAATGGTCAAGTAGTATCCTGATGTCTGATTGGTTGCTGTGGGCTCCGCCCCGCACCTTGCAGCACATTACTGTACATGCTTACCGAACGTAATCTTTGTATTTGCCACAATTTGATACTTTCTATCACTATAGATGTGATGTAGTAAATCTAGAAGATTGTTCTCCAGGTCTGTGACCATGTGATCATTGCTGAGGATCTCGGCATTCAGTGGCCACGTCGGTCTGATATTTTGGTGACTAATTCTCTGAATGAGAAACGGCACCAAAACTGACCATTCTGACCGTGAAATTACCGTTTTTATACATATAATAATCCTAACGGGCGTCTCTCCTCTCCAGCTACAGCAGCTGCAAGCAGAAGAAGCTGTTGGCGAAAGCTCGCGCAAACGAACTGGCGGCTTCCGGCGAGGGCGAAAAACTGCACAGCGATAGCGGCGTCTTCCTGGACACGCACAGCCTGCAAGAGCAAAACCAGCTGAACAAAGGTAAGTCCTTCTTTCCAGAACCCTCCTGGGGGGTGCCGACCCAACCGCAGAGAGGACTGCGCTGCATTCAGAGATGTGCCGCAAGGTGGAGGCAGTCCGACCGTACGACTTTCTGTATGAAGAACATTAACCGGGCTATTATTATCAGCTATGAACTTCTATGGCTACAAATATAAAACTGACTCTGAGTGATCTACTTCGGTAGTCTCACTCCTACTGCGCAACCAGGGTGACCATAGCAGGCGTGCAGACCCAGGAACTCAACACTGGGAGGGTCAGAACCCCTCATAATGGGCACAGCAGATGTACAGACCCGGGAACTCAGCACAGGGATGGTGGGAGCCCCTCATAATGGGCACAGCGGGTGTACAGACCCGGGAACTCAGCACAGGGATGGTGGGAGCCCCTCATAATGGGCACAGCGGGTGTACAGACCCGGGAACTCAGCACAGGGATGGTGAGCAGCCAAACTGGAGCCAAAACTCTACATCAACCTCCCACCACACAAGCAGGAAGAGGTGGAGCGCTTGTTGGCGGACACCAGCCGCGGGAAGGACTGGCAGCGCCTGGCCAGCTTGTTGGGCTACGAGGAAGACGCCATAGACGCCTTCTCTAGAGGGGAGGATCCCGTCCACACTCTGCTCACCGACTGGTCTTCAAAGGACGGCTCCACCCTGGAGGTTCTGTGCGCGGCCTTGGTCAACATGGAGCGGGCAGACGTGGTGGAGAACCTGAACAGCACAAGCGACGCCAGCTCCGTTGTGTAATGACGGGGAAGCTCTTCCCAGACAGGACTGGGCTATAGAAACCAAATTTGTCTGCAGGAACTACTTTTTTATAAAGTGTGAGGACCTGGGGAGCAGCGTTTGTCAAACGTGTCCCAAAAACTGACTGGTGACCTTTTTTATTTTGAAGTCGTGACTCTAAAAAGAGAGGCCGGTGCTGTTTAGGAATTCCATTGGAAGAGGCAAATTTATGGAAACAATGGCAATAAACCGCGTTCTTCAAGACGTTGGATAACCAAGAACGTTGGCTTGTTGATGGACCATCGATGGATGATGGGACTTCTATAAGCCATGTTGGCAGCTCGGAGGTCTTTCTCATGGGACTTCATATTTCCAAATTTAGGAACTTTTTTTGTTTTTGTTTGTTTCTTTATCGTTTACAATGTGCCTGGTGGAGGTCCAGCGTCTTCGGCCTTTAAGATACCCGAGTGTGCCTTGCGTGCTGCCAGTGGACGGCACAAACATACAAGAGGACAATTCGTCACCGCCGGTACGTCAGGCCAAGAACGGGTCCGAGATTCCTGATGGACCTCCGGAGGATGAGTCCAATCCTACGTCCGGATCTTCACTCCTTCGCGCACATTGTAACCTTTTTAGTGTCGCATTCTCTTTTATTTCTTATTTTACGCTTTGTTTCCGGCTCGGCGCGGATCATTTTGTTGCCATTTTTTTTACCTTTTTTTTGGACTCTTTTTCTTCTTCCGGGTTTTGTGCCCAAAAACTGAAACCATTTCTCACTCGACACACTTTTTTTTGTTACTTTGACACAGAAACTTACAATATGGGAGGAAATGGAATGTAATTATTTTGTGTTTAATATTTTAATATAAACATTTTTTATTTGTAATTCTTACAAAATGAAATCCAGATAAAGATGAGGAGCTTGTAAGAAAAAAAAAAGGTGTCTTTGTGTTCCGTCATCCTTCGTGTTTAAGGGGAAAGCTGCTTTTATTTTTGTGATTTTTGTTTACAGGGAGCCTGTCGGGGTCCAAAGTCTGACATTGTTTTTTGAAGGTGTTTTACCTGCCAAATGATTTGTCGTTCTGTCCATCCGGTCCTGAGATTAACACAGCAGGGGGAAGGCATTTTATTTTGCTCCAATTGCCTAACAGGTTCCCGTCCCAGCCTGTGACTGGACAGCGAAAGGAGAAGCAGCAGACTGATGAGCTAATTTCTCTGTCACTCTGCTCTCTCACGCGATCTGCATGCTTCTAAAACTACTATAGCACACCTGATTGGCTTCTTGCTGCTTCTTCCATCTCCAGGTCTGAACTCTGCTGTACAGAGATTGCAAAAGGCATTTAAAGGAGAACTATGAGGGGGGGGGGGGGGCTTTTCACTCTCACCTCATAGTTCTAGCCGACCTGTAACAATGAGAATGCTTCAGCTGCGGGGTCTCAGTATACCGCGAGCTCCAGCTCCCTATATACTGAGCCTAGGGTGACGGGAGGACGCTAGTTTGTGTCCTCCCGTGACTCTGAGGAGAACTATGGGGAAAAACCCTGAACCTCATAGTTCTTTTAATAATGTATTATTGAATACTACACAAGAGGCTGTGCCCATGCTTATAGCTCAGGCATGGGCCACTGTTGTCACAGGAAGCCACAGGATGTGCAGCTGGCGCTGGAGCGAATGCATGTAGACAGGAAGTGGCTGGAGGAGATCAGCAGCACTGAGATAGGGGGGGGGGGGGGGCGGGAAAAAATTAAAAATATATATTACGGGAGGTAAAAAAAAAATGCCAATTGTTTATTATACGGAGGTTTTAAATTAAAAGAAACGACATATCATCCAGATGGCGTTTACATCCACTTTAATGTCCGATCAGTGGCTCCACCCCCTCCATTCTGCTCAGATGTGTTGTAATACCGCTTTATGGCCACTAGATGGAGCTGAGGCTCATCGTTGCTCCTCACTGCCACTTAGTGGCCATAATGTGGTATTACATTCCATTTGCCCTCAAAAGAGATACTACAAACATTCGTGTTTCCCTCTCTTGGCACAGAACGGATGTACACAAGGGCACATGGCTCTGTGAATTGTTTATAAACAGACCCCACTGTGTGCAGTCAAAGGGCTCCTAGGAGATGTAGTTCTGGGGGCATGTCTACATACAAGGGAACTGAGCTCTCAGCAGCTTCCCCTGCAAGAATTTTACAAGCCCGGTGTTGATGTCACAGGGAGTAATAAATGAAGACCGGTGAAATATTATAACACTGGGGCACGACTTGGTGAGGAAGGGGGTATGGTGGTCAGTTTGGGTAATGCCAAGCACTTCAAGGGTAATTTTGGAATATACAAAGTTTGGGAATCATTTTAGTGAACTGTAGAAGTAATGGAAAAAAAAACTTGTGCTCTCCTCCTCCTGTAGGTCCCCCAGTGCCTGAAACATGCACTGTGCTATACAATAGAACCTGATGGGCCCACACTGCTGTCATGCCCGTCCTCAGCCTGGTGTCCTGGGATTGGGGGAAGGAGATATAAGGAGGATCTCCAAGTTTTTTGGGATGTTAACCCTTTCCCTGCCGATCTTTTACTATTGGCAATGTCTTCTCCTTCTGGATCCCAGAGGCAAATGTAGACTATAGCGGGGCCCCCGGGCATAGTGTAAGTCAGGGGCCCCAATCTCCACGCTTGTGTCTTGTTTATATTTGTGATCCGGAACCAATGTTCTCATGCGCAGCCCTTGACTCTCTGTCGGGGCCCATTCACACTATGGCATCGCGGTAATGCACGTTACATGCGTTGGTGGGACGGGGGGTTGCCGTTCGTTCTGAATGACACCCCAACGCACCTCCGGGCGAGTTACAGAACTACCCTGGCACTGAGGGGCTTCCCCTTTCCTGCGAGGGTTAAATGCTCATTTTTGTCCTTTTAAAAGCATTTATACTTGCCTTACCCCCGCCCCCACCCCCCCTCCTGACCCCTGAAACCACTTCTCTGCCCATGCGGTTCTGACGTCATCCCGCACAGGAAGGAGTACGCTGGATTTCTGGAAGATCAACAGCCATTCTTCTGTACGTTATGGTCCTTTATGGTAATTCTGGCACTGGGCTGGCATCAGGTCATGTGATTTAACAGTCACATGACCTCTGCTTGAGGGACTTCAATGCTGACAGAGCCAACAATTCAGTAGTCAGAATGACTTGTCCTCCTCTGATATATGCCATGGCACTGGTCACCTGACCCGATGCTGGAGACATTTCCCTTTACTCCATTGAGGTTTGGCTATTCCGATGTACTTCCGTTCCATGGTACAGACCCATTTAAAGTGGAACTCTAACCATTGTGTTTTCTAGAATGAGGGAGGAGGACACGAGGGGCCGGGCAAGCGTCCATTCACTGCAATACAATGTCATATGTGTGTGCTGTGCCCTGTGCACCCTTTCAGTCCTGACAGTTGAGGGCGGAGCCATATTTACTATATAAAGAAAAAAGTGCTGTAGTTTTTGAAGAAAAAAACAAAACAGTTTTCCCTCCGTTATGATATAAAACATTTATTACTCCAATTTTTTAGGTAATATATAAAAGACTGTCCCCGTCTCCCTGTCTCTCCGTGCCCCCATCTCCCTGTTTCCTCCTCTCCCTGTCTCTCCGTGCCCCCCCGACCGCCTTCTATAAAGGCTCTTCAGGGTAAGTTGATCCCGATGGTGACATCTGTCCGTGTAAAACAAGGCGGGCGAGCTCATTGATTAATTTTGCGATGATCCCGGGGGGCCCCTCCCGGGGCACTCGGGCCCTCCCTGACGGAATCTTTGCCAATGCTGAACGTGATTTTGCTGAGTGGGAGAGAACAGGTGGCCGTGTCATGGCGGCCGGGGGGGGAACCTGAGCCCGGCGTCGGTTTTA